AAGACTTGTGCAGATGCACCCTTTTTCAAATGTGGGACACTGGCAAGTTACTACAGATACTCTCCTCAACTACAAAACAATAAAGGGAGACATGAAATTCCTGTTTGTGGAGGGGATTTATGGGAACATTGTTCAATATTATTTATATCAAGGGTCACAAACCAGTGATTCATGTGCTGAATTCAAGTAATTCAGCACATATTTAAAAAATAATGTGCAACATTTGTCAACATGTTATAATTAGAAAATGTATACAAACGTAATTAGGTATGCTTTATTTCAGTGACCCACCGTAACAAAGGTGTATCTTGACAGGCACTGATGAGCAAATACTATTACGTGAGAGCTGTTCATAACACTAGAACTCTCCAGATTTTTCAACCTGATTAACTCATTCACATAAAAAGGTTCCTGTAGGCACTTGACCCTAGATATAAACTTCTCTGTATCTTTGAAACTTACTGTAAAGTGAATGAAGCAAAATTTGCCTACTATGGAAAGGAGGTACTTCTCTTCTGGAGGTAAGAGCCACAAAGCCTCTTGCCTAAACTACCAGGAGGCTTAATTATACATATCCACTCAACCAAAGATACAAGTACTATATACATATTGGGTCTTTTCAAAGTTGTATTCTTTTTTTTGGTACTGGGAATCAAACTCAGGACCTCATGTTTGCCAGGCAGGCTCCATGCCACTGAACTATATCCCTGGCCCCTTAATTACTTATATATTAATTTTATTATATTTACATTTAGTGAAAAACAATACCTCAAAATCTTTGTACAGAGTTAGATCACATGTATTCTAATTGGAAGAATTGCCCACATTTTTAAGAATAAAGCAAAGAAAAAATGAAATGATGTTTATATTCACAGCACAGGGATTATCTTTCACTACAGAGAATTCATATGGAAAATATAGTAGAATTTGAGAATATTAAAACATTTTTTATGTATTTAGTACAGGGTCTACAAGGTCTCACTACACAGATCAGACTCATAGTGATCCTTCCTGTTTTTTCAGCCTCCCAAGCACTGGGATTACAGGTGCATGCCACCATGGCTAGTCTCATTCACCATATCAGTGTTCCCCGGGGGTGGGGTGAGCTTGGCAGGCTGGGGGATCCACCCCCTGGTCTGTGTCTGCCTAAGCAGGTGCTTTAACCTACTGAGCTATCTGGCCGGCCCTTAAACATATTTTTTATATAGACTTCCTCTTCATTTTTAATTTCACAATGAACTTTATATAAGTTTTACAACTAATTAAATAGCATTTTTACCAATCAAATATTGGCCAGAATCACTAATTCATCCCTGCTGTACTTCCTATGTCTAAGGAAAAAATATAAGTTTTACTGTTGTGTTTCCTGTAGGATTTTACATAGATATGATTTTTTCAATTTAAAGAAATCCTGTTTCTATAGTAAATTATTTGTTTATCAATAGTAAATATGCAGGAATAATGAATTTTCACAATCATTTACTGTGAAGATTTACTTTTAACTATCACTAACCCAATTTCATTAGGTTTAGGTTAAAATGAGAAAAACACATCTGATAGTCTCTTAATTTTTCATCACTTGTAAGTATTTCTGGCCATTTGTTTAGTTTCTAAAGGAGGCAGAGAGCTTTGAAAGCATGAAACATTCATCCTAGTATGCTATCTAGAACAAGTTGTAGCATCCTACTCCTTTAGGTAATGATAAAAGTGAAACATTTGCTACACTTGAACCCAGAATGTATTCTAGTCACTCTATTGAATCTTTTTCTATGTGGACTTTCAGATTTCTTTCTGCAGCTGGCACTTTTCCACCTCAAGTACTGAGACCTGAACCTAGGGCCTCACATTTCTAGGTCGACTAAACTATATTTCCAGCTCATTTTATTTTACTTTGCGACAGTCTCCCAAAACTGCCCCAGCTGGCCTTGAACTCTCAATGCTCTTGCCTCAGGTCCTAAGTAGTTGGGAACATAGCCATCAACCATCACATCTGGTTATATATGGCATTTTTAAAGTCAGAAACAAGATCTTACATCACATTAACATGGTAATACAGTGTTTTGATAGTGATTTTTGGCAAAATTGATTCAAAAACACTTCTAAGCATAGTTATATGAAAAATTTAAGTGTACTTCAATAGATAATTTCCACTTTGTCTTATTTACAATGATTTTTATTCAACACACACACACACTACTAAAAACACAATATACCATTTGTTGTCTGCACCAGTGAATATCAGAACTCCATGCAGTACTGTCATGGTGGATCACTGTGTTTTGCTGCAAAGTATTCCTTTCACTGTGGTAACTTCTAATGTTTAAAACTTTCTGGTTAAACTTATATAGTTAATTTCATGTGGCACGTGAAACTTATAAAATTAAAAATGTAACAGGCTTTTAAATAAAATCTAGAACATCCACTATAAATGTGCTTTTTTAGTTCAGGAAAATTCAGACCTATGGTTATCTGCTTATTGACCTTTATCTTTTGATACCACAGATTAAATAGTGATTATACATCAAAAACACTGATCACGCAGAAACTCTCCTCCTTTCACTGACAGCTAAAATAGAACCGCATCAGCCCTCATTCCTTTGATTTGACAAAGGATGAATGAGATTTCTATAAAGTATTTAAAACAAAGGGGTACACGAATTCCTAAGGATAAAAACATCACTTACCGTCAAAAAAACATTTACTTTGTAGTACATTTTAAAATCTTGCTCTGAGCTATAAAAATTACTTTGCTTTGGCCAAGTCAACTTTTCATTTTAAATAGTATTCTTATTAACTGAAATTTTGCTGTTAAATATGGTTTCAATAGGATGTGAGAAATTTGGATTGCAATTCAAAAAAATCTTAGTTTTATTCAGTATTGTACAGGAAGCCCCCACCAGAGCAGTCAGAGAAGAGAAAGAAATTACAGGCAACTGGACTATAAAAGAGGAATCTAACTGTCACTCCTCGCAATGCCATGGTCCTATAAATAGAAAACACCAAGAAGTCTACCAAAAAAACTACTAGAGTAAATGAATTCAGCAAAATTCTAAGATAAAGTATTAATGTACAAAAATTAATTTCTAATCAACAAAGCAATCTCATTTACAATAGCTAGAAAATTTTGACCCATATTTTTAAGGACTATTTTTGTAGGCACCACAAAGTTTAGGAGAAGTCATATTAAATTGAATAACTACAGTTAGTTTTAAGAAGTGCATAATTATGAACTTGGTAGGTTCTCTGGTGGCGTGTTACTATTGTTTTCAGAGTTTAGCTTTTAGATATCAGAGCTAAAATATGTATATACCCATAGAAGACAAAAAAGAAACTTCACCCAAATTACAATTTAAAAAATTAAATTTTGAGTGTATCTACTGTATGTATTACAAAATTCTCAAAATTAAAATGTATAAACAATTATGAAGATACCTACTTTGTAAAAGCTGTATATTTCACTACAGAAAATACATAAAGGATGCTGACTAAACCCTGCTTTTCACCTGCTAATAAAATATTAAAACATTTTATGAGAAATAGATTTTAATATCTAAGATACAATTTTTATGTATGCTTTTGTTAAATGAAAATTACTCCATGTAACAAAAGTCATCTTTTAAATTCATCTTAAAGTACAACAAAACAATTTAATATATAACCCAAATAATTAACAATAGCAGTTTTTAGCCATCTTTAAAAGGAGAAATATTTGGCTTCATAGAACCAAAATATGTATTACTAAAGAAAAATGAGCAACTTAAAAAAGAATTTTTGTAATTCTTGAGTTGCATATCATATCACTTCATTAGGTTTATCGAATTCACACATTTAGACTTTTAAAATAAATCAAATGTTTGCTCTTTATTTACTTGCGATCATTAGTATCTAAACTGTTAGAAGTCAATACCTGAGAAAGATCCTGAATGCTTTCTTAAGAACAAAATTATTTCAAAAGTTTCCTAAAATAGCCATCCTTTGGTATCAATGGGGGATTGGCTAATGGAAGATGTAGTGTCTCGCTTACTTTTTTCTCATTGCTGGGAAAAAATACCCAACACCTAGCATTAAGGATGGAAATGTTTATTTAGCTCACAGTTTGTGGAGGTTTCAGTGCCTACTTGGCTGGCTCTAAGGCAGAGTGGCACACGGCAGAGAGAGTTAGTTCATGGAGGCTAGAAAACAGCAAAGAGCAAAGGGAGGGGCAGCAGCAGCATCTTCTAGCAAGCCTCTCTCTTCTCCTTACATTGTAATGCAGGTTGCCCACTTCAGGGCAGGGGTAGCACTCATACTCATAATGCCAGCATCGGATCATGAATTAACCACAAACTCTAGAAGCTGCTCTGAGGAGTGCATGAGACTTTAGGGGGACAACTAGACACAAACCATAACAGGTGGATAACAAAATACGCAGTAATTCAAGTTCCTTATATAAAGACATACTTGCATATAACCTTTGCACAGCCTGCATATATTAAGATGAGCTCTGATTTATAATATCTAGTATAATGTAAAATACTATATCAATAGTACTAAGGGATAATAACAGGAAAAAGTTTGTTCATGTTCACTACTGATGTAATTCTTCTGCCCTGAATATTAACAGTTGGCAACTAGTTCAATCTGTAGACCATGGATGTAAGTGGGTTACTGTAATTATCTTTACAAAAGGAAAAAAATAGGTTAAAGCCATTATAAAAAGAAGTCTCAATCATTTTTTGGTTTGTGAGTAACTTTCTACAAGAAATACAGAATCTGTGTCATCCTACTTTGAAATGTGAGTGCTCCTGACTGGTTAGGGGAAAGACGTGGGGATTCAAAAGACAGCACAGTGAGGCATGGCATGGTGCATACCTACCTCTGCGGTGAGAACAGAAAAAGGTGGTATTCCTCCTGAGAACTTGGTCGGTTTACACACTTTCCCTTAATCTCAGAACTACTTCATGAAGTTTATTTTCTGTCATGGTAGATTCAAATATACAATATACACAACAAAGAAAATCTCCTGTACAGTAGACATTTATTTCTCCAATAAAACTTAATAAACTATGTATGTTATAAAATACTATTCGGTATACATTTATAACTTAATTTAAAATAACATATAGTGGCTAACTAGATATAAAAAAATCCACAGATTACAATTGTATGTTTGTTCCTATGAAGACGCTTGGCTATATCAAAATACCATTATACTGATTTAACTTTATACTTTTCTACAGAAAATAATCAGATTATTAACATTGTAATAATTTTCAATGACTTGATCATTCTCTGAGAAAGAGAAAATTCTTAAGTTATAAATCAATTTAATGTTAACCGTGCTTCTTTTAAAAAACATATTTTACTTCAAAATCAGTGCTTAAAATGTTTTATCACCTGATAGGCAATTTTATGATAAATTTCACTGCTAATTTGTTTCTAAATATCTATACTCAAAACATTTCTATAATTGCTTGTCAGCATTACCTTACTACTTCTCTTAATAAAATGAAGTATCTAAGAAATATTTAAGTAAAATGATAGGTTTTTTAGTGTAGTTATAGTTACAAATATAACAATAGAGTGTCATTTTATTATTACTAGTAACATCTTACCAGCTTCAATCAGCAGTGATGCCCAATGACTATCCCACTGATGTGCAACACTGGTGGTAGACACTCATATATGTGATGGTTACGTGTTTACTACTGGCAGGTCAAACCACCCAGCAGTGAGACATGAATTACAGCTCCATCATGGATGTGTTACAAAAGATTTGACTTTTAGCACACAAACGATCCATTTGCCATAGTGTGACAGTTATTGATCACAAATAATTTAAACTAATAGACACTGACAAAATATATCACATTTTTAAATGGGGATATCGTTATATAAATGGGGATAGACAACATTACGTACAAGAATTTAAACTATTGTCTTCTCAGAAAGTACTTTAAATATATAACAAGGTTAGTTTTTTACAGCTGTAATATCTGAAATGGTAACTGCTTGTTCTGTTGTTTTTGATAAAAAAATGTTAAAATGATATAATCCAATGATAGAATGAATATTCTTTTTTCTTAGCCAATAATGTCTGATTAATATTAATTTTTAAGAATGAATAGCAGAATAAGAAATTGACAAGGTATTATGAAAATAATAGTACCTGTGGCATCATACATCTATAACAATTGTGAAACATTTTTCTAGTAATTGAGAGATAATCATTAACTTCCATGAAAGTGCTTTCCATAGTTTCTAAACCCTGGAATGTTATGCAGCACAGTGAAGCAGAAATACTAAACATGCCAAACAGCACGCAAGGTTTAAGAAAAATCTTCTAATGATGGCACAGACTATGCTGCCAAAAGCTGGTCTTCTTGACACAGTACAATTCACATAAGGCTTAATGTAAATAATTTAAAACAAATGAGACTATTATTTTAAGTGGTTTTAGATTCACAGCAAATCTGAGAAGCCATATATTTGGAGAACTGTATCACTATGTGAAAGGTATCTAAAGTCTTTAGTAATTCAACAAAGGAAACTGAATCATTGAAAAAAAAATCTGTACACTATGTTTTGTAGGCCTTATTTTTCTTTGTTAGACATACCAAATATACATATAGTCCTACATCTTTGGGACCAGGACACAAATAGGAATTAGCTGTGTGATAGCTACTTTATCTACTGTGAAATGAAAGTTAAAATTTCATCCTAACGATGCTCAATTTTAGTCAGAAAAGGAGCAAATTAGGCCACAATGATTTACCTACACAATTTTTCTCTAAAAGTTTCTCAGTGCAGTGTTTGCTACCTTTAAAAAAGTAAAAAGAAACTTTAATGAAGATAACAATAACAGTAGCGATGGTTTTTGACAGCATTGTTCCACAACTCATAAGAAATGCATTTCTTGAAACTAGCTGATTTACATAATTAACTCCAATAAATGCCTTAAGAAGCAGGCATCTGATCACCTAAAGCATACGTGGCTCTTTCCTTACTGTATTTTTCTGACCACTTGCGAGTCAGCTCTAGATAAAGGCTTGGCTTATGAGGCCGATAATCTAAGTATACCGTATTACTCGTTCTTTTGGGAACAGCTTTCTCAATTTGAGTTCCTTCATGCCACTCATTGAAAGAGGTGATGGAAACTACACTTGGGTGGGTCTGCAGTGCAGCATCCAGACCGACTTCATAGTACTTCCCATTGATTCGGTTCCGTGTGTTTTGAGTGTTCCAAGGCCGGATGCTGGTGTCTATGTATCCTGGACCCACACTTGGGATAAACATTAAGTTGTATTTATCACAAAAGAATTTTAGTTTAGCCCAGTTCTGATGAGAGGAGCCATAAGTAAAGCCATTTGTGGCAAAATATGTGTAAATACCATCAAAACCACTTCGAAGAATATCATTTTTATGTTTTTCTTCTACTAGAAGTGCAATAAATAAACCATCATAAGGGGAATTGCGAACACTGTGAGGCCCTGAAGTGGTTAGCAGGTTGGCCCACTTTTCAGGCTTCATGATATAGGAATCATATACATAAAACATAGGAAGAGATTTCCCAGTTCTTGTCCTGTACCTGTAAAAGGCTGGATGATTTCCATATCTAGAATATAAAGATATGCAAAAGTGAAATGCATATTCATAACTCAATATTCACAATTTAGACGAAAACTATTTCCACACAGAAAATCAATGTAATCAGTGCAGTTTAACCACATTGTTCTCTTTTTTCAGGAAATTAGTCATATAATAATTAAAAATACATCTTAATTTTATGCATCACAAAGTAAATTACTGGATGTCACCAAACAAGAAATTAAATATCTCACACTCAGGTTTGCAAATGTTGATTAATACTATAAAAAGTCTCATTAGTATATGAATCCATAAACTTTTTCTGTATAATAAATGTCCCTTTATCACTGACAATTATTGTCTGTCAGACATAAGTGAATTCCTTTAAGAAAATGAAAGTGTATCAATAAAAATCTTTCTTGTAATCATACTAGATATAAATGAAAATAGACATAAGCAGTATAAAAGTGGTTCACATTTCATAACCTGAACTTTAAAAAGGATAACAATATTTTTGTAATATTTTTGCAGTAATTTAAAGTATTAATGACTTAAACCATAAATAGCCTTATAAACTTGTAAAACAGAAAAAGCACAAGTCTTTATGCAGAAAGTGAAGTGAGGGCTGGCCTGATAGCTCAGTGGAGTAAAGAGCCTGCTTAGGCAGAATGCAGTGGCTGGGTATGATCCCTCTCTGTGGGGGGTGCTGAGACAGCAATTGAGACTGGGTGTGGTGGCACTGACCTATAATCTTAGCACTTGGGAGACTGAAAACAGGAGAATCACTACAAGTCCGATCTACGTAGTGAAACCCTGTACACCCTGTCCTAAATACAGAGAAAAAAAAAAAAAAAAAAAAAAAAAAAAAATGAAGTGGATAGAATCTGAGAAATAATCCCCAAAATAATTATGAGATTCATATCAAAAAGTTTAACTTTATTATAAAAGTGTCAAATCAGGTAGAGAAAAAAAGTAAGATAATACATTTAAACTTCTCAAATTTTACCAAAATACACTCTTCTATATCATATGCATTCTATATAGTGATTATTATCACTGGCTCACATAGCGGCAATTACAAATACAGAAGCAGCTCACCTGTCTATAATATACTTGACATTTTTGTACATGTTTTGATCATCTCGATTGTTATAGGGCTCTATGTGAAAAGTGACCTAGAACAAAGAAAAAAAAATCAATGAGGAAATAAAGTTACTTTTAAGGTGAAATAAAAACAAGTAGATCTTCTCAAGTATGTGACCACAAAATTTACACTTGAATGGAATAATTAACATATTTAAGTGTTAACATATTTATATATTATTTAATATATAAATTTTATATAATTAAACAGAACGTCATTAAAAATCTATGTTGAATCTGCATTAACATTTAAACCATTTATAACATATTCTTTACAAGTATCTATAGTGATATAAAGAACAATTTTCCTAATCTTTTTCTGAGACATAGTCTCCCTGTGAAGTTCAGGTTGGACTTGAACTTGCAACAGTGATTCTCTGCCTCAGCCTCCAAGGGCTAGGATTACTGGCATGTGGCACTAGGCTTTAATTCTTAAATTATGATAGTTTGCATTGTCCATCATGACAGAAAGCACTAACTAAAACTATTTTCAAAACACCATGTACAGATTTAATTTTTTGGGGGGGGGGTAAAAATAGTTGTTTTATATATATCAAGAACAACTATGGCAAGTAAAATCACTTTGCATACTACTTTTAACTTATAATGCAGATAGTAGAGATATCTTTAAGTGACAATGCATTTATGATTTTTAAAACAAAGAATAAGGATTTTCGCTTTCATTCCTAATTCTGCTCACTTACCAACAGAAGCTAAACATTTTTATTTAAATAAATGTATTTAAACAATTGCACATTTTTACATTGAAATTTAGAAATCTAACCATATACAACACTGTAGCAGGACAGTCCTATGACATTTTTTCTTGTCTCTTGTTTTCATTTATTACTTTTTTCCATTTTTAATTTTTTTTCTTTTTTTCACATTATGGACAGACTTAAAGTTTAGCATATCAACAACTGATGGAAAATACCTGTTTCATGTTATGTCTAAGGCGCTTGATATTCAGACAGATAATGAGGCTAAGCTCAACAGCCTATGTTTTAGGGTAATAATGTCATTAAGCTTTTCTTCTGGAGGATTAACAACTTAAGTTTGCAGACCAAAAAATTAGAGAAAAACAAGGGCTACAAGGATAGCCAACATTTTGGCCCTAGCTCTTCAAGGTCCAGGAGGACTTAGGAAATAAAGAGAATCTGTACTCTAACATCCTGTAGTTCAGTGGTGTCCTAAATTTTCTGATCAGGGAGATTATGGAGCCACAGAGGAAAGTGATCAAGATGTTTAGTATGCCTAAGGAGAGTCACCTGGAGAGAAAACAGTCTCTCAGGCTTTCAGAGAGCAAATCAGTCCAGCAATGGCCGTGAGTCACCAACATGGCTGACACTGACAAAGGATCAACAAACTGCGGTACAGGGTTTCAGGATAAATCCCGAGGGGATTTGACTGACCTTGTCAGATACAAAAGTTACATTTTTTTTATATAGGTCTTGCTTTATGTTGATCTTAACCATCTAGCAGAAAAGGATAAAAACGAGGTATAAAAAGTAAAGCCATATTAATATGCTGAGCTGTAAAAGGCTCAAGTCAACAACTTCTGATATTGCCAGTCATGAGGATAACCCACTACTAATATAGACTAATGGACTATATTGGATTACTTTGCTGAATTCATGCACCTACAATATATGAATGGCAATGGAATACCCATATCTAACAAAAGTAAACAAAACAAGGGGATATAATTGAACGACTATTTTGTAGTGGAAAAAATATATATAATGTATATACAAAGTAGCATAGATATACAGCTACTTTCTCTTAGTTCATTGAGAAGTTTTGAACTAATAGTGTTTAGACAAGATATCATGTCTGCACTTGAATAACTACTATGAATAACTACTACAAAGACAACAATATGCAATGTACTGTAACTGTTCTACTAACTTGTTTTGAAACTGTCTCATTGCTACTTCTTTCTTAATAAAATTAATATAAAAATATATTTATACTGTTTTAATTTGAAGTGTCAGGACCTATGAAGTACCTATGAAATTAGAGACCACCACCTTATTACAGTACACCACTGCTCCTCAGGATGGGGTGCGGGGAGGCTGTTTCCACAGCACCACCAAACACTGAAGTCTGTACGAACTCATGTCACTTATCTAAATGATGAGGCATCTGCATAAAAGCCACATTTATCTCTCTGCACACTTTAAATGCCCTCTAGCTGACTTATGATACCAAATACAATGTAAATACTATGTCCAATGTCACTATACTGCATTGTTTAGGTAATAATAAAATGAAAGCCTTTTCACATTCCATACAGACACAATTTATTCTACTGTTGTTTTCCGTACTCAGTTAAGACATGTAGAACCCATATATATGGAGGACAAACTGTATGTTGTATTATTAGTCAGATCTTTCAGTAACTTTGCTATTTACTTAAGCTCAATTCAAAGAAAAATGGCAATTGGATAGGTATTTTCATATTCTTAAATAATGTTATTGCTATTATTTGGATGAATATCTCTTCAAGGCTCATGTGTTGATCTGCATGGTGGCACTACTGGGACACGACCTGAAACTCCAGGGAGTTAGGATTAGTGCAAGGTCTTTTTGTCATCGAGAGGCTGTCCTCACAGGGCATTATGGGCCCCACGATTTCAGTCTATTTATTGGGCTGTGGTACAGTTTGTTCTATCATATGCTAACTTCCAACAGATTGCAAAGTCCCTTAAGGCCTAAGATAGTACCTTCTTCCTATGTTACCCACATCTGGAACATCTTAACACTAAATCGCATCTGAACAGTATCTGGAGCATTAAAGGTACTGACTGAATAAATGCATACATGATAAACAGAGGAACAATTTCTATGCAAAAATAAACAAGAGTTAAAACTCTAGGTCTGCCACTGATACTCCATTAAGGCAATAGTCACCAACGTTTCCTGCAAATACATTGTTAAGAATAAGAAAAAAGTCATGTTTCAATGAGAATCATTTAAAAAGAGTCATAGACATACTGTATAAAGATATTATAAAAAATTGCACAAGGCAGAGATATAATGTAGCATAAGAATTATATACAAATAATTACTGGATGCTTGTAAAGCAACAGCATGAGACATATGACTTAAAAAATAGAAAAAAATACTTTAGTCAGGCATGATGGCACATGCCTGTAATATCAGCACTTCGGAGGCTGAGGCAGGAGGATCACTATAAGTTCAAGGTCAGACTAAAATGAGTTTAAGACCAGCATGAACTGCATAGTGAAACCCTATCTCAAAAAGACCAAAAGAAAAAAAACACTTTACAATAAAATAATAGATTTTCTAAAATGGAAGATGACCATTAAATGAAGTGATTTTTCCTCTCTACTCCTAAAGAAAAGGGATGAACTGAGACTTCAAACTGATGTTCTTTTATTAGATGTTTGATTTAATTTTGTCAGGTATTGGTGTAACAATACCAAATAGCATGTGCACAATTGCCGTGGCTTTCAAAGACAAACACCTGTTTCTATGCATACACAATCTGTGGATTAGCTTTGATGGCTCTGCTCTAGGATATGGGTCAGGTTGAAATCAGTTCCTCACCATAATGTTACCCTCAGTCCTAGACAGAGTAGAGCTTCCTATCCACATATACACAGCAGCAGCACAATCATGCTAGTGTGTGCTATGCAATGAATCTCATTAGTCAAAATGGCCATGAAGCAAAAGTCAACATTAATGTAGCAGGAAATATATCATTTCTTTCCTTGAAGAGAAAGGAAGAGAGTATCTGCTAAAAAAGGCATCAAATATCTCTATCCTGTCACATTTAAGGGACTTGTTTCATTGTTGTGGTCCTACCAGTGTAGGACAGAGGACATCAGTGGTAAGGATTCAGCTCTGATTTTTTATACTCCTTAAAAATCACCCAGTGGCATGACATTGACAAGGGCTACAGTCCTTGTTGCAGCAAATCTGCAGACAAATATAAAAAGCAAAGATATCAGTCTCTCTGAAAATCATGCTTTATGTTTTTTATTTTTAATTTATATTTTCCAAAAACCCCTTACTGTACAGTTGCTAAATATAGAACAAGTTAAATGGGGGCCGGGGAGATAGCTCAGCAGCATAAATGCCTGCCTGGGAAGCACAAGGTCCTGAGTTTGATCCCTGATACTGAAGAAAAAAGAGAGAGACAGAGACAGAGACAGAGACAGAGACAGAGACAGAGA